TCAAGAAAACAATATAATTACTTATGTATTTATATACAAACTGCTTTCCTGCAACTTCGTCCGAGTATGATTTAGCTTCAGGTATTTTTTGGTCCAGCGGTTTCGTAGCCTATTCAATGCTGACAGTCAAAGGTATTGAAGTTTATATAATAGTAATGACCAAAATTATGACCTATGTTATGGGGTATGGTGTAGTTTACTGTAGGTGAATGAATTTTCATGATCGAATCAGTACTCCCGAAGATTACATCTACAAAAAACGTTAGAATTATGATATTTCTTTATTTAATATTGGTATAGATTTAACCAATCGGTGTAATAGATGCGTCGGATGTCCAAATTCGAACATAGTCAATCGAGTGCCCCGATATGGATTAACGACTAACTAGACCTTGTCGAGCAAAACAGAATTCGCTATGAAATAAGAGAACGTGTACACGAAAGATTACCATCATTCAATCCGTTTTGTGCCACGAAGTAATGATCAAATAAGCTGTAATTAAAAACGTGATCATTACATCATATTGCCAAGAGATTTGTCACAACCAAAACCAGACAAAACTGTCACTATTGTAAATTTTACGGGTCACAATATTACCCGTAAAATTCACTATTTTCGATTTCTGGTCGTAATTATATTCTTCTCTTTTTATAAGGAAATTTGATAATTGACAAATAATCTATAACCATTACAATAATTGCAATGGTTTACGAGTAATTAATTGGAAATATTATTTTATGCACCATTCACCATCCGAGCAATGAGATAGTTATGGACAGTGCTTTGTCTTTACAACGCTCGTAACGTTTTATCTACTATATATTTACATATAAACAAGAATTATCAGTTCTTACTTAATTTAAAGACTGGTTTATTGGTTAAAATATGTGCAAAATTAATATAATAACTTAAGTAATTACTTTTACTCGACTATAGATACGAGTGTAAGTATGAACGCATCTTAACACATGTGCTTTAACTGCTTAATTTGAAATCAGAGCAACAACGTAGCGTGGTATCTGATGTTTTATTTATCTATTCACGTTAAGTCCTGAGCATGTAACTAAAATACGTTTGGAATATAAAATTAACTTGTGTAATGTTGTTTACAATAAATGGAATTGGAAAAAGGTTTTTTATCTTTAGGATCCGTATACGTATGTACTAAACATGTGATACGGAATTCTGTGCGACTTCCTAATTTCCAAGTGAATTTCTTTATGACTAAATTAATAAAATTATCCATATGACCGGATTCGATTTGATTGGATTCCATTCTTAGGGAAGGCCTGAGCCCCAGCAATCGGGACATTAATGTGCTGGAGATAATTGTAGGTGAGCATCTCAATAAAGTTTTTTGTGACTATTGTTATAATTGTGACATTAATATTTAGCAACTTTCACTCCTAACCAGTATCGGAAAAACCTGCTGTGCACAAATTCACATGTACCTACAAACAGCAACGAAACAAAAGCACTACTTATACGAGTTTCGTCTCCACAGAGCAAGAGTTGTTAGACCTTACAGAGCTAACTGTCAAGTTGTGTTTAGTTTTACTTTTATCTAACTAATATTATAAAGAGGTAACATTTCCGACTTTGTTTGTTTGTAAGGGGCAATCTTTGGAAATTCGAATCCGATCATGACAATTATTTCACCTACGAGAAGATACATCATACGCCGTTGACGTAGACTACAATTTACGCGAGCGGCGTCGTGGGAAATCAAGCAGTATATGATATTTTGCTGCGAGTTTATAAATTCACTTGAGGGTGTTGTCAAGTTATGCGTCAATAGTTTTACAAAATCCCCCATGTGAATAAATTCAACATTTATTGTGTGATTTATTTAACGTATACAGTTTTTTTTAGTTTATCATCACATCACATCATCCTACTTAAATAAACATTCGCAAATGGACGGTCGTCTCTTTTCTGTTGAATCTAGTATTTCATTATTCATCTATAACCTTTGAGCAGGGCTTGGAAACCGGTTAATTTTATGAACCGGTTCGACGTTAGTACATGCACAACTTTACATAAAAGGTTCAGCTCCTTTGAACAGGTTTTTAAACTGGTTCACTAGAAATACGGTTAATGTTAATGAAGAAATCATTAACCCATTTAAATATGACTCCAAACAATGATCTCAAAAACTTCAGCGCGGTTTTTAAGTGCCTTTTACTCCTATCTATAACATCCGTATACAGGTATGATAATTGTCATCGCTTAAAAATGATATAATTCGCATTAAAAGCGTAAGAACATTGCTTTTTACGAACCGAGCGAATGAACCGGTTTTTATGCCATCCGAATTTCACTCCGCATTCAGTTCCAATCCGGAACGGAACATTATAAGAGAACAGGTTTTACCTAAATAAAAACGGTTTATTCTGAACCGGTTTCAAGCCCTGCCTTTGAGTCGTGGACCAAGTAGTCTATTCTCTATGTACGGGATCGAGTTTCGAATCTGTCTGAAACGAATTTGAAACGCTGTCTTACTTCAATTGAACTTTCTAATTGTAGAGATTTGTGTTTAGTCCATATATTTTTGTTCTGTGTTATTTCAATGAAGTATGAAAGCGAATGCCATTCTTTCTCATTTTTTTTAGATGATGACCATGGAAAGACTTATATTAATTGGCAACTCAAAACATTTGAGCCCATTGAAATTGGTTACCGGATGAACCCGCCCATAAACAGTAGTGATGTGGATATCGATAGTATGTGCAATTGAAATTCAATTGAATCGATATGGCTATCTTATCTAAATGATATTGCAGAACATATTATATATTGTGTCAATTTGTGTTTTACGCGTTGTAACACGATTATATCACGGGCTTGTAGTACCGATATTTTACCACTAAGACAACTACGAGCAAGTTACGAGCAAGTTCATATTTCTGAGTGAAGTTTCAATTACAGGTTGCCATGGAATTATATATTTAAACTAGTTGTAACACGCGGCTTCGCTCACGTGGTCCGAGGGTACTGTGTGCACACTGATCTGTTATACTAGAGTCTTAAGCTAATCTTCATTAAAAATATTTTTTTAACATTTTATTTTACCATTTTGTCGGCGTGATTAACGTGTATACTCATGCTGCGTAAATTACACCTTTCTAATACTAATCATTTTTGGGTTAAACCGCGGACGGACGGATAGACAGATGGACATAGCGAAACTATAAGGGATCTTTGTTGACTACGGAATCATAAAAACAACAAAATTGAAAACAAAACTACTTTGTATGATTAAAATCGGCAAAAAAGACTACAAACAACAAAAATGTAAATACCGTTATTCCGATATCCCGTCCCGTTAAAGTACAGTAGCGTCAGCTACATGTAACATTTTATTTTTTAATATTCCCCAAAAAAAAAAAATAATTCCCCAATTATGTTATTGGAAGAAATGAAAAATTTAAAACGAAGGCTACATAAAAAAAAAGATTAAAAACAACAAAAATCAAAAACCCGTTTTAAAAGTACAGTAGCGTCATCTAGTGATCAGTAGAGCTAGCGTCAGCTTAATGTAATGTTTCAAATATAAAATATAGGATAGACATATGCTGTCGTGGACTTTTTTAGAACTTTTAAAGGGCAATAATTTCGTAACACATGATTTTTCCGCAACTTTCACCGTTTACGCATTGAACGCAAGGAAAGCTTTCAAAAAGTAATAAATCTCTCGTTTTGCAACATTTTTTATGCTCCTCCACTCCTAGTAGTCGTAGCGTGATGTCATATATCCTTATAGCCTTCTTCGATAAATGGACTATTTAAAATAATAAAAATAATTCAATTCGAACCCGTTGTTCCTGAGATTATAGAGTTCAAACAAACAAACTCTTTACCTTTATTATTAGTATATATAAATATTTATATCTTATGACTAAAGGTAGGTGTGGATGTAAACCGGAGATTACCCGGTTAAACTTAAGCCAGTACATGTAATGTTAAGTATGTTCACAGCTTTATTGTAATAACGTATGCTCTCACCCATACAAAAGGAGGAGCAACCTCAGTAACACTACTGTCGAAATAAATGGAGAGTTTTATGGAGTGTGGAATAGTATTATAATTATTTCAGCCAGACGCGTAGAGGTGTTATCAATATTCTGGTCCTTATATTTTCACTTTTATAGTATTTTCGATATATTAGTTAATTTATCGATAGACCGCACCACGCAACTGCCGATGCGTCAACAGCACTAATTTTACAACAGTCTGTCATTGTCAATGAACTATAAAATAGGAAGGAAATACACGAAACCAACTGAAATGTTGAAAAATTTCTGATTATTTTTTTATAAATAAAGACATACTTTGTTTTACAGCATTGAAACTAGTGTTTGTTTACGATAGCTATAGTAATTGCGTAAGTTGGCGTTTGAATTTTTCCCATTGAATTTATGTTAAAAAAACTTTTCAGTGTTTTTAGGGTATCATATCCCAAAAGGAGAAAACAAAACCCTTATTGGTTTACTCGTGTGTCCGTCTGTTAGTCTTTGTTTAAAGGTACTACTAAACAAATACTAATAATAATGATCAAAAGAATAATTAATAAAATACCTTACATACTATTTTATGAGACACGTCTAATAAAAGGCGTAAACCTGCTTTTTCAGTTGTGAAAATAACTATAGTAACAGAAGTAAACTTAAAAAAAATGTAGATTTACGTTAGATTAGTTTAGTTTAGATATTGGTTTGGTTACTACAGAATAAGACACAATTTTGAATTAAGCGAGGTGAAAAATTGACCATTGCTCTTCACTGTTCACTGAAACGGGGATTTTTAATAATTAAAACGAAATACAAGAAGTAGTTCTTTATTTATAATTTACATAATGTATTAATTTTACATTTTTTTTTTAAATATTTATATTCACTCCTGGCCGGTATTGCAACGGATCGATATCGGACAAGTGACGGTGTTCCTCCAAAATTGTCTTAAATGAATCTCCTTTAAGGTACGTTTCACATTGTCACAGATGCGGGCAAGGGGTCGCGCAGCAGCAGCAACCTCGTGCGTATACGCAGATCGCAGCTCGGCAAGTCCGCACCGACGTTATCCGTCCACGTGGTGAGTGATCAAAATAATAATATGTGTATCATAATTATCAGCATATATTCGTTTCCAATGCTGAGGCAGAGGCTTACCTTGTGGATAGGAGCGGTCGCTACGGAAGGTTGCGGAGAAATTCCACGTCTCGTGGCCTGTCCTGGAGAATGGGTGTACCGTAATGAGAGTCAAGAGGCAGGGACAGTGCATAATGCATTCCCCCTGTGGACAAAAACCTTTACGAATAACAAAAAGGAAGGATAGGCCATGACGTATTACCCGGGCACAGTGCTGATTGGTGGGTGGTAACGACAGCAGGTGCCACCAGAACCAACGGCTTAACGTGCCTTTCGAAGCACGCATAGAGATAGATAAAAAATGTTATCCATCTTATGAGGTGCCTTTGCAAAAGTCGTCTTCCGCATCGCAGTGAAAACGCCTTAATCACTGAGCTATCAAGCTCTTCTTTCTCTTCTTAAACAATATATTCGAAAAGAAAACTATTATTTCCAATATTCTTATTGAAAATTATGTTGCAATAGTTTAGTAACTTTCATTGAAGTCGGGTGGTTAATATTAAAACACTACGAATTGGTTAGCAGACAAGAAAATCTTTTAAGTCGTTCTTAAATTTTAACATTTCTAATTATTAAGTTAGTGTGCGTTTCTATTTAATCCAATAAAATTTATAAAGTCAAAGTCGACATATGTTTATTCCGTTAAATTTGTTTCAAGTACTTTTGAATCGACCAACATTTTTTCCCTACATTAGTTATTTTGTCTTTATCCATATTACTTAAATTAAGTTGTTACTGTTACAGAAAGAGCCATGCACTGTATCGCGACGACCCTCAAGGTTGCCGCCACCGCCCCCACACCACAGACTCTCACTCGTGGTGAGTAGCACGCCATGTAAACCAAGCCTTTTTTCTGATCACAGTACATCAGCCTTTAAACGTCCTCACTGTCGAGGCACATGCTTTCCCCGTGATGTGCAATGGTGAGCGCTGACAACTAGAGATGCTGCTGGGACTGGGAGTAACGGTTTTAATGTAAAGAGTAGTTCGAGATAATAAATTATTTGCCATCCACAAACTGACCATTGCGATAGTTCACAGATCCCGCTAACTACAACTGTCCTATCTAGGTTTTTTTTTTGTAAAATTATAAAGTAAGATATTGAAACAATATTTAGGTGTTTTTCTTTTTTAAAAATACCCGCCAGAATCTTTATTTCTCAACTCTTAAAATAAATATAGTTCAAGCTTATTCGAATTTATTTCGCATTCACGACCTATTCTGTCGCTGATATTAACAACAGTCCAAATTTATATTGTACAGAGAATAAGCAAACCTAGTACCTTCTTGGAGTATTACTCCCGTATAACCTCGTACTTAGTGATGAGCCCCTCACTCGCGAGGTGCCTCGTTTGAGTTCCTCATTTCGACAAAATGAGGGAGTACTCGTTTTTCAATTTTGAACCACCTCATTAAGCTCCTCACTTTTTGAGTGAGGAGCTAAATAGCGAGTTGATTCGAATGAAAAGGCGACTCGATACTTACTCAATATATTCAAGATCGAGGGAATGGGTTAAGTTTTATGAGTTTTTTGGAACGTTTCAGGTTTGTTTATGTGTTTCTTCACAAATACGTATTTAATATTTTATAGATAAATGATATTAATTAGTCTAAGTAAAAATCAAAGTTAATAAAAATGTATCGGTTTTATTTAGAAATATATTTATATGATTCGAAATATAATTAATTGATCTATTTTAAAAATGGAACATTTGATACTACTGCAAATAAGTTGCGTGATGTGGTCATTCTGTTAAATAATAATCTAATAAAGTTTATTTTTTAGAATCTAAAGACAAAATATGTTTTGTTTAGCATTACCGACTCCCTCCCTCATTTTGTACCAAACGGCAATGTTGCGAGCGCCTCGCTACGTACTCATTCACTGCTACTATAACATTACCTATCCTCACCTCAAATGAGGGGTAACTCGCGAGCCCCTCACGAGGGAAAATGAGGTACTCACTCATCCTCATTAAAAAAAGAATGAGTAACACAACGCTACTCGTACTCACTATAATATGAATTTTTACTAATACTAAGTGCAGTCTCAGCGTAAATTTGGTTCCAACGCTAAACCTTGTTTCTAAGTAACACTGTAAGGCAATCTTGTGGGAGTCACCTATGTCGAACGAAATTTCATAGAAAACGACCGTTCGATGCAAGTCGGTCGATCCATAAATAGTGCCCCAGCTTTATCTATGTGCGCTATGCGTCATCAAAAAGAGCGCAACGAACGAGGATTCTAGATCACCGACTCAGTTTCTACTAACATAATAGTGCTCCGTTTATTTGGTCACTTATTTGGTCGCGAACTCTGATAGCATACGATATGTAAATAATGACTTAATTCACTTCGGATAGCAGGAAAATCTAAATATGGTCCAGACGATGTGCTTAATAGTCAACTGGATACAAATATTTTTTATTTAAGTAGAACATTATAAAACAGCTTTATATTAAGTCCATTGTTTTATCTACAATCCCTTCGCAAATTCGAACTTTCATTATACTTTTTATTGCATATAATTTATATTTAACTAGTTGTTTTATTTATTTATTTATTCATTTTGGGAAAGAACAGCATTGAGTTACACATGAGTATACATAATTCAATTAAGTAGTACAGTAGCTGTTCCGTAACGAAACAGATCATTGATAATTGGCTATACAAAGACAACACAACTGTGGGTAAAATTTTTATTGTCTATGGGCAAGGCGATTAGCTGTCTTCGTTCCAAATCCCCACCCTTAATCCTTGGGTGACGGTTTACTACTGTGATTTCAAATTGTTAACTGCGCGCACCTAATTTTGATTGAGCTTGGTGAATTGTTCGTTATCGAGAATAAGGACATTTCGGAAGAACGGTGGATCAGTGCCTATGGACTATATATCGTGTATGATATATTCGCTGGTAACCGCGTCGACGCACCCCGTTCCAGAACCCAGCCCTCGGAACCCGTGGCGGTAAAGGATCGCTTGCGGTGAGTCGCCAACCCCTGCTTAATATCGTACATAATTTCTTTTGATCCGTTCGAACCGGATTGCTATCTTTCAGTTGTGTTGTCTCTAAACAGTATTACGTACTTATTATCATGGATAGTGACGCAGCGAATTCGAAGCAGTCATCTTTGTTACGCAAAATGTCTGATGATGAATCGCCGTGTGAACAAGATTTATTCGAACGAGATCTTATTCTCGATGAGTTAAAACGAACATTACAGTTCGCAGCGACAGATGTCCAACAGTTTCGCTCGCGAACTACTGATTTAAATTCTCACCAACGTAAATTCAATAAAGTTCAAACTAAAATTGAAAAAACGTTAATCAAGTTAAGGTCTTTTAACAAAGAGGAACAGATTAAGATACGCAACGATTTCAATGATTTGTACTACGCTATTATCACTAATTTAAATAATTTAAAGAGGGTGGATGAAGAGCAACGACGTATGAGTCGTCCGTTAATAACGCCTTTAGTTCAGTCATCTAATTATAATAAGAATTTACCAACTTTGCCTTTGCCTAATTTCAGCGGCGATCCTACGGATTGGCCTTCCTATTTCGATTTGTTTCGATCATTAGTCCATTTAAACAGTGCCTACACAGAGGCGGAAAAATTCCGTTACTTATTACTTACGGTACACAACGAACCCCACAATTTAATTAAATCTATCCCTATTACAGACGAGAACTATTCGGTAGCTTTAAATATTTTGATATCTCGTTATGAGAATAAAAGAGTTATTGCCTCAAAACACCTTGACAGAATTCTCGACATCGAACAGTGTTCCGATAGATCGTCTCAAAGTATACGTAATTTATTAAATGTCTACCAAGAAAACATTAAAGCACTGGAGATTATGCACTTTCCCGTAAGCGAATGGAGTTTTTTGTTACTTAGCATTTTGTTACGAAAAATACCTATTAACACTCGTAAATCTTATGAACGTTCTTTAACTAATTCGTCCGACATTCCAAACGTTAGCACATTGATTTGTTTCTTAGAACGCGAAATATCAGCTGAGGAAATTATCTGTTCGACTAACAACGGACAGTACAATAAATTATCTAGTGTGGCTAATGTGAATATGCGCCACCGTCACAATAATCGCGTAGAAAACCAGTTGCAGCAACGGCAACTTCGTTCGTTTGCTGCTAATGTCACACCAGTTTCAAAACCGTCGAATGATAATCGGTCTTATGAACAGAATCATAAGAATAGAAATTGCTTATGTTGTAATGCTCAACATACGTTGACAAAGTGTTCGCAATTTTTAAACTTATCCCCTCGAGATAGATTTGCTTTAGTTCGTAAGAAAAATATTTGTTATAATTGTTTGCATTTTGGGCATGATGTGAATCAATGCAATTCTAGTTTTGTCTGTCGTACATGTCATAAGCGACATCACACATTAATTCACTTTTCAAGTAAATCGTTACCGATTACTGATAATAAAATATCTGCAAATAATGCAGTCTCGCTCCCACCTTCAGTGGTAGCTGAGATGCCTGTAACCGCTACCACGAATGATCCGCAGTGCGTTGCTCCCGCCGGTGAGAACGTGATTCATAATTGTTGCGCGTCCAATGCCGCGTTCGCTCGTACGACTACGGTGCTATTGTCTACGGCACTCGTCGACGTATGCATAGGTGCGGTGAAAATAGCGACCGTTCGCTGCATTATAGACACTGGAAGTCAGGCGAGTTTTATCACTGAGGCGTGTGCGCAGCGTCTGGGTTTGATGCGCGGGCATGTTAATGTTTCTGTGTTCGGTATAGGCAATAGTGAAGCGGCGCGTAGCAAAGGATTTATAAATTGTAATATCGCGCCTAAGGGTAGATTAGAACCCTTAGTTCCGGTAAATCTTTTAATTTTAAACAAATTAATTTCACAAATGCCGAGTATGCAGTTACCGTACACTGGTTGGCCTCATATAAAAGATTTAAATTTAGCGGATCCCGCTTTTCATACGCCACAGCCAGTGGACCTGTTATTAGGAGCGGATATACTATCCCATGTGCTTTTGAGTGACGTCATTACGGGCTTACCAGGTTCACCGATAGCAGTAAATAGTATATTCGGTTATTTATTGTTAGGTAAACTAGATATTGTTTCCTCTCCGTCTCAACTTCAAGTTTGTTTTAGTTCATTTGACAATGACAACCTTCAGAGATTTTGGGAATTAGAGTCACTTCCTGAAAAACGGAGTTACACTCCTGATGAAGAAATATGCGAATCCTTTTTTCAAAAGACGCATATACGTGACGCAACGGGGCGATACGTGGTCGCTTTGCCTTTTAAGCCGGAGGCTCCCCCTCTAGGCGAATCCCGTCAAACTGCACTTGCGCGCTTTCGTAAGTTAGAGTTTCGTCTCGAGCGAAACCCGAAGCTTAAGGAAGACTATCATGCCTGTCTCCAAGAGTATCTGGATATGAAGCACATGGAGCCCGTTAAGGGCGAGCCGACATCAGGGGCCACTTATTATATTCCGCATCATTGCGTGGTCAAAGAATCCAGTGAGACCACTCGCACTCGAGTAGTTTACGACGCCGGGTGTAAAACTTCTAGTGGCTACTCATTGAATGACATTTTGTTGACAGGTCCTAAACTTCATTTAGATATAGTTAATGTTATTTTAAAATTTCGTATTCATTCAGTGGCCTTCACTGCTGACATCAAACAAATGTTTAGGAATATTTTAGTTCGAAAGGAAGATAGGGATTTTCAGCGCATTTTATGGCGGAAGTCGCCTGATGAGGTTATCCGTGATTATCGTCTTTCTACAGTCACATTTGGAGTGAATTGCTCTCCATATC